AATAAACTGTAAACTGTACGTAAACGAAAATGTTTATTAAGTCGTTTGAGAGAAAAAGAACAAGTAATGAATAGACAAATATTGTTGAATTGATATGACATAGAAAGTGACATATGGTAGGCAGGGAGTGCATAATTTATAGTTCCTCTGTTCCACAAATCAGCCCCTATCCTGAGGGTAGGCAGGGAATGCCCTGGCCTAGGGCCATTGGGGGCCCAAAAAAAAATTATATACCCTTAAAACTATTAAAAGACTACATCAGTCATTAGCTTCAATTATATGGAGTACATTTTAATTAACTACTCCACTATGAATGAAAATAAGAAAATCATTGATTTAATCATCTCATTGAATCGTTTAGTGTCCACTAATTGTGTTTATCCTCTTTGACATTCAGATAAAATTTCTCTCTCCTTTCTTTGTTTTTATCCATGGAAAATTATTGGAAATTACTGTTTAGTTTAGACACTACATCCCAAAGCAAATTTTATATATTAAATATCTATAATTATAAAAAGTTTATATTGTGAAAGTATTTTACGAGACGAATCTAACAAGACCACACATGACTATATTTTACTTTACGTATAAATCACAATATGTGGTCAAACAAGCGTGATGAATAGTGTAAAAGTCCAGTTGTTGTAATATTACTAGAACGGAGGAAGTAAGAAAGAAAATATTGAGACGCTTAATGTATAATAACGTGTGAGAGAACATGAGACACAATATGATAATGGAGCTCCATCCTAATTTAAAATTCCTCCTTTACTTACACAGTTACACCTAGCTATTTCTCCACCGCTCAAGAGATAATTATTGTTGGTAATAAAAACCGGCCCTTAATTAAAAACGCGGTTGATTATACTTTGAAGAAAAAAGATTGCATTAATAGAAGATAGCCAAATGGCACTTACAAACAATTTCTAAAAAATCTAAAATTCCAACACAAATACATATCACCTTAGAACTAATTCCATCGCAGATTCGATCAACGATCGCCATAATAAAAAACTTCATTCGAAGCAATACAATCTGTGAGTTAGCACTAATTCGACTTGAAATCCACTGATGCATAATTGTTTGAGTGATAATACTCATATGGTCTTCTAGATTATGGAAATTATGATACCTATATCTTCAATCATCGCCAGATGAACAAAAAAAGAAATTAAACCTAATAGAATAATCACCACCTTAAAGATGGGATCAATTTATTGAAGGCAATTAAAAAGTTTTTAGGGCTTACCACCGGTAAAAATATCAGTGGAAGCCCCTACCAAGATTAATGGAGATCAGAAAGAAAAGAAATGAAAGAGAAGGAGAGAAAAGAGAGAAGAGTGAAGGAAAACCTTCAAAAAAAATCTAGCAATGGAGGCTAGAAAAACCCTCCCAAGAGAAAAACCCTAGAGGGAACCACTACTAGAAAACAGGCCATTTCCGAAGAAAATTCCGTCGGAAAAGATTTTGTAGGAAAAACGACCTTTCCACGGAATTCCTTCGTCAGAAGAGATTTTCTGGCCCCGGAAAAGTCCGTCGGAAGTTTCCGACAGACACAATTCCGACGGAAATTTCGTTGGAAAATGATTCAATGAAATTAAAAAAAACACACCGCACTACCACCGGCACGGCGTATCACCACCTCCAACCCTAAACCCAACATTAGACTACCACCGCCACTACTCCCCACATCAGACCACCACCAGCCCCTAACTAACCCTAACTATAAGCCCAGACGACTCTCCCCAAACTAACCCTAAGCCCAGATCTAAACTATCCCCACCCTAACCCTAAACCCACCTAAGCCCACAGCCACTACAAACCTAGCGTCACTCACCACACGGACACACATCACACACGGACACACATCAACCACACCCACCACCGAAAATCCTAACCCAGATCCGCACCCACCACAACCCACAACGACCCACAACCCACCTAATTATTTCACCACCCCTCATCCCTTCCACCCAACACCAGACCCACCACGACCACAACCCAATTTTTTTTTTTTTAAGAAAAACAACTCAGAAACAAAAAAAAAAAAAAATTATACACGAAAACATCCCTCAAAATTGAAATAGGTTTCAAGGTCGAATTTGGCCTATAAAACCTTAAAAAATCAAAACCATGTAGAATCGGGCCGGCATTAAGCGGTGAGGGACTTGTCGGCGTGTTTATCGTCGTCATCGGGGTTAAAATCGGCGGAAACGATGGATCGGAACCCAGAAAGCTTCGTAGAGAGGAACATCACATCTTTGGGTGTTGGGAAAATTGGCGGAAAAAGAGAAGAGAGGACGAGAAAGAAGATAATAGGCGAAGGAGAAAAAGAGAAGAACAGAGGAGGATAGAGAAAAGAGAGAAGAGAGGAAATGAGGAGAAGAGAGAGAAAGAGGAGATAGTGAGAAGAAGGGGAAGGCTGATACTCTATTAGGGTTTTGTGGGTTTAATTTTTTTTTTTTTAAAAAGAATTCCGTCGGATATTTCCGACGGATAATATTCTATCGAAAAATAAATAAATTCGTAGGAAATTTCCTAAGGAATAAATCTGTTGGAAATTTCCGACGGAATTTCTAAATTTGTCGGAAATTTCCTACGGATTTTAAATCCGTTGGAAATTTAGTATTTTCCGACGGATTTTCGTGTCCGTAGAAAATTGGCCTTTTTCTTATAGTGAACCAGAAAAATCCTCTCAAGGAGAAACCTTAGGGAGAACGATAAATAAATAAAACTTTAGAATATGATGTTGTGATTATACTACTACAATGGATACTGCTAAAATCAAGAGTGGGGGCTAGTAGTCCATTCTCATGGTTGAATAGATGACTAAGCACCTGGGTTGAATTCCAGCAATAAAGTTTATCAAACCTCATTAGTCATTCAGTGACTGAGAGTTGGTGAGAATCTATATCATCATATAGGAATCTTCTGTCGGATTCTTGTTCTTTCAATTATATTATTAGCAAGAGATTCTAGTATTATTAGAAAGAGATTCTAATTTAGAATTTAAGATTTTTAGAGTATGATGCATTGATATTATTATTATTATTATTATTATTATTATTATTATTATTATTATTATTATTATTATTATTATTATTATTATTATTATTATTATTATTATTATTATTATTATTATTATCACGTTCTAGTTGGAGCAGCTAATTCTGGAAATAATTAGGAACATTCAATATGATTATTGGTTAAGATACATTATTCTGGCTAATAATTTTGGCACATATATTTACTAAAAAAATATAATAAGTAGCATGATGATGATGATTATGCTGATTTGTCTTAAATTAGCTAGTGCGTAAGTATATAGTTGATCCACCATCTAATTCCATTTTATTGAGTTGGTGAGATCTTGACATAATACTCCATAATTCTACTTGAGTTATTTGTTGGTGAACGTTAGATCAGGTTTTCCAACTGGTATTCTTTATGACAATGAATATATAACTAATCCGTCATCACAATATTATACTTCCTCTATTCTTTTTTACTTGATCTGTTTCTTCTATCACGCTTGTCAATGCAAAATTTTAACGATCAATAACTATTATGATAGTATTTATTGAGACGAATTCAAAAAGATCTCATCACATGAATATGTTCTTGCTTACATATTATTCACAAAAGACGGTCAAAGGAGGGGTGGTAAATAGTGTAAAAGTCAAAGCGGGTCAAGTAAAAAAGAACGGAGGAAGTATACTGCAACCGTACAAGTAGAGGTCGGTTTTAATTGAGTTTAGCTAGCTTGCAAATTATTCAAGCTTGAGCCAATTTTTGTATGATGAGACTGAGCACAACTAAGTTCGACTTAAAAGAATATGGATAGACATTCAAAGTACTTCTTAACTAATCGGACTATTTATGTTACCTAATATAATATACGAGTGTAACCTAAAATTTTGTACACTGTAGTTGACATTTATTTTCATGAATTTTCCAACAATTAATTCTCAATCTTTATCCCAACAATCCCCAACCCTCATTCCTACATACCAAACACATCGATTGTGATGAAAATTGTGCTTGTTAAACTATTTATTAGTCCAAATTATATTGGATTGGATTGAAATGAAAACTAAAAACCACAATATTGTAAACTAAAATCTCAAAGGCTAAATTAATTATGTTAGGATTAAAATGGAACCCTTCCGTTGGTTTCCAAAAAAAAAAAAAAAAAAAAAAAAAAAAAAAAACAAAAACAAAACTGAACCATATTGACAAACCAGCCCAAAATTGTATTTCATTTTCTTATTCATATACTAGTACAACGTACTTTGTATATTTTTATACAAGTACTAGTAGCAGAGAAAATTAAAATTAATTTTTTTGTTTAAGGGTAAGGAGGACCTTGACTAAACCTCAACCCTCACAGTTTTTTTTATTTAGTATTTGCAGGCTACATTTGGAAGTAGTGGGAGGGTAATGAAATCTCTTTGAGGTGTCAATTCGGATGATCGGATCGGATCTAATAAGGTTGGGTTGGATCAGGTCAAATTTTAAAGTTGAGTCATGCTAAATTATTATGTCCACGCGAAACCAAATCTGAAACGTATATTTTTTGGGTCGGTTTCGAATCGGGTGTGATTTTGACACCTCTTCTACCCCCAAGTACCCTCACTTGGCCAAGTGAGCCAATACTTTGTCGGTAGAAAATTAAATTTAATTCCTTTACTTGGATTTGAGATTTTACGATAACCTTTCACACACACACAAAAAAAAAAAAAAAAAAAAGCATTTTACAAAATTTATAACTAGTTAAATACTGCAAATTAGTTTTCCATATACTTCGTTCAAAGTTTTATGGAATACATTGTATGTTGAAGGCTTTCCCAGAACATTGTCAGTGTCAACCTTCAATTTCCATCTTTCTTCCCCGAGAATTTGGGAATTACAGAATTAGGCAAGTAGTAGCAGCAACATCTTCACTCTGCTTCATTGCTGAGACGAAAACTCAAAGATGAAGTTTCAAGCTCTGCGTTTTAATGGCGGTACCTCTCTTTTTCCCATAATTTCTTCCTCCTTTCCTTTTCATTTTCGAAATTGTTGCCATTTTTCCAGTGAAAGAATTGTTGCAATTGATGACCGTAATTTAATTCTCAATTCTGTTAGAGAACAATGCAAATTAGGGTTTTCCGATCTTAAACTTCCACAATCTCTCTTCAATCAATTGACCTCTTTGCGCCCTCTTCCTTCTGTTATCGTTTTCAATCAGCTCTTTACTGCCATTTCCAAATTGAAACACCTTCATCCTCATTCCACCATTACTTCGCTCTTCAGCCACCTTGAATTTCTTGGTATTCGACCCGATTGGCATTCTATTGGTATTCTTGTCAATTGTTACTGTCGTTTAGGCCGCGTTGATTTCGGGTTTTCTATCATGGGCTAAATCCCTTAAACTTGGTTATCCCCCAAATGATTATACTTTTAACACCTTAATCAATGGTTATATCCTTAATGATATGCTCCCTCAAGCTGCTCAATTGTTGAATAAGATTATCAAGTTAGATTTCCAGCCTGATATTGTTACATATGGTGCTATTTTCAAAGGCCTTTGTAGAATCGGCGACAATGCCAGTGCTCTCACTTTGCTTACCAAAATGCATTCTGCTGCTCATTGTAAGCCTAACCTTGTCATATACAACACTATTATTGATAGTCTCTGTAAGGACAGCTTATTACAACAAGCTATGGACCTCTTCTCCGCTATCAAAACCGATGGCATTCAACCCGATGTTGTCACCTATAATACTTTGATTCGAGGCTTCTACAATTCTGGATGCAGGGAAGAGGCTAAGGGTGTATTGACTGAGATGTTAAAGAGCAACATAACACCTGATGTTACAACCTTCAGCATACTGGTTGACATGTTTTGTAAAGATGGGAATGTTAAGGAAGCACAAGCCACATTGCAGCTCATGACTCGTAAAGGTGTTACTCCAAACATCTTTACTTACAATGCTTTACTTGATGGTTATTGTTTGCGTGGTCAGATGGAAGATGCAGAAAAGCTACTTGATATCATGACCCAGAATGGTTGTGAGCCTAATGTTGTAAGTTTTAGTACTATGGTCAATGGATATGTCAAACATAAAAACATTGTCAATGGATAGTTCATTGCTTGATGGCCTATGTAAATGTAAACGGCTTGATGAGGCAGTGGCATTACTTGAAGATATGGAGGATAAAGGTATTAGGCCTGATATTGTCACTTACAATATCCTAATGGACAGCTTGTGTGAGGCTGGGCAACTTGAAGATGCAGCAAAATTCTTCTCTGATCTTGTGTTAAAGGGTCTGCAGCCTAGTCTTAAAACATACAATATATTAGTTAAAGGCTTTTGCAAGAAGGGGTTAATGAATGAAGCTGATGATGTGTTGAGGAAAATGGAGAAAGATGGTTGTTTATCAGAGGATATATTCTTAGTAATGACTTTTCCAAGGCATTATACTACCGCGATCTTATAGTTAGCAAAGGATTTCAAGCTGATGCACACACTTTCATTATTTGTTGACCTCTTGTCTTCCGATAACTTAAGTGACTCATCCAAGGGCTTGCTTCAAAAGTTTATCAAATGAATTGTAATGCAAGTTTTTTTTAGTATTGTTGATCTTGGACCTTGGATGTCAAACTAATTGCTGATACTAGGATATTGTTATGATCTTTCTGTAGTGTGTTGTTCATTTAATTGTAGTCTTAATCATCTGACTTTGATTTCCCATTTAGCATTCTAATTTTAAATCTAGGTTAGCTTATCCTTAAGCTGATGTCTACCTGTAGGCAACTACGCAAGTTACTCCCTCTTAACAGAAATGCTGGTAAATGAGAACCTTTGTGGCAATAGGTGCAGATAAGGAGCCTTAACTAGACATCAAAACCAACTTTGGTAGTTTGGTCGAAGCTCACGTGCAGCTCCCAACAAATAAACATCTTTATAAGCGATGCTCATTCTTAATGATCCAGTAAGGTGTGATTGTCTTGGTATATATAGAGGCTATCAATATTACACAAGTATGTCGTTTCTACACAGCTACAACTTGTTCATGAAAGTGGGCTCTCAATTCATCATTTCACCAAAAATGAGTACCACATCATTCCTTACCAAGTAACCGGGATCATTAACAACTATTAAAAGTGCAGCAAATGCAGATTACAAAAGAGAAAATCTATAAATATTTCCAGGTGAAACTGTTCTCGGCACTTTGCTGCTTGGTGTTAAGTTTGCCAGAAGGAGAAGTTCATCGATTCGTTGGTACTGCCTGGCTCAATTTCATCAGTCTCCTGCCCCCATCATTTCTCCAAACCCCTCTAACTGAAGCAAGAATTGAGTCTTGATCAGGTCTAACCACCATCAGATCAGAGGCCAAGTCAGAACAGCTGCTATCTGGAACTGCTGATGCTGAACTTTCACCTAGGCGAGCCTTGAGGAACTTCGACTTTTTCTTCATTTTCTTTTTGCCTCCAGCTGTAGCTTCTCCTGGAGAATTGTTTGAGCCACCTCCACTCACATGACCCACATCTTCAATAATTGAAGTCTTGGAATTTCTTTCGAATAAACGTTCCACAACCTTTAATGAGGGAAAATCCTCTTCCCGAGGCTTAGCATCCAACTTTAGATCCTTAAAATTATTTGCAATGCTATCCAACAAGGACTCCCCTTTAATGCCGCCACCAGAATCTCCGCATTTTTCCTTTCCTTTATTGGAAAGTTTACTAGCAGTTGTTTTACAGCTCTCTTTCCTCGGCCTGTTTTCAATACTGTTTCCCAAACTGGTCATATGAATTTTCATGAGTTCCTTTTGCTTCTGTGGATCAGGACAAAGTCTAGCCAAGTCAACAATAAGATGAGCAAGGCCAAACTGATGAACATATGCAAAGTATTCTCCAGCACCAATCTCACCCTCACGATATTCTTTTGAAATTATTTTGAAGGCGGCATATTTGTCCTTGTCATATTCTAAGGAAGCACATATTTTCTCAACCAAGGACTTGTTCGCAGCCTTAATGTCATCTCCAATTACTGTACCCTCATTAGATGCTTTATTAATGACATTTGGAGCTGAAGAAGATGGGGCCACATCTTCAACACTAATAGTTAATGAATTTGCAGAACTAGCAGATGCAATGTCACTTGACATCGAAGAAAGCAGACTATAAGAACTGATCGAGTTAGAGGATGGGGAGTGACCAACTGCCAAAGCTCCAATCTGATGTGAGATAATTGGGCTAGATTGTGATAAATGTTCTGCATCTGACAACCTAAGTTGCGATGAACTGATTGCTGGTGAGTGATTGATACCAATTTCCTCCGACTTCTTTCTAGATTTGTGTCGTCGTCTTTTTGTTGATCTAGGCAGTTCGGAACCATTTAGAAGTACACTTCTGAAGTCCAGTGCTGCTCCCTGTCGGTGTCCTGAAGATGGCACAGTAGTTGCAGCAGAACCAATATCACTAGTCTCTCTGTGAATAGGAATTGCTTGCACAGCTGATGTAGCATCATACAGTAAATTGGTGTTGGTTCTTTCACCATTAGCTGAATTAGCAGAAGAGAGTCGAACATTAGATGTCCCAGGAAGTGAAGCATGTGCTCTAACATGGAGACCTTCGTCCCTTTCCCGATGATGAAAGCATGCACGTAGCTGTGTTATTATAATGTTAATTGAGTTAATCACAAGAATGGGATTTTCTACAGAGCATATGCAGCTTCTTTAAATAGAAACAGAGAAAACATAATTTAACAGACCACTACAGCTAGAAGTCCAGCCCATCTGGAGTTGACATATAGAGAATCAAAGCCCATCAGCTAGAATTCATAATGGCAAATGTATTAATGAATTTGCAGATCAATAAAGGGACCACAAATACCTGCAAAGCATTTTGGCGTTTTGAACGAGACATTGATCCACCATGTTCCAAAGCACTATGATGCTGAAAATAAGCAAAAGAATCCCATGAACCAACTGCATGAGCCAATGATTTTTAGCATACAAAGCTCAAGAAAATTTAGCCCCACATTCAGTGAGATTTTCATGTCATGAAAGAGTAACATATGCAGTAAGAAACTTAATTTGCAAGGTGCCTAGGTGGTAAACAATCTTTAAAATCCAGGGCTTTTGGCTTTCCTCCATCGGACAGGGGCGGACTTGGCCTTGTGCCTGGTGGGTCAAATGACTCACCAGGGCCCAAAAAAATTTCTGTCTTTTTTTTTTTTAAAAAAAAAAAAATAAAAAAAAAAAAAATTATTAGTTTGTTAATTTTAGTCTTGTCAATTTTAAGCTTGTTAAATGTTAGTTAGTATTGTAATCTTGTCAATTTTCTATTTGGATGATCTTTGTAAATAATTTTTTTTTGGGAATTTTGGTAAATTTTTTTTTTTTTACATATTTGGTTATCGATTGTGAGTTTGTGACTCACCGGTCAGAAATTCCTGGGTCCGCCACTGCCATCGGACCAAGTGATTTGGCAATGCCACCTAACTTACGCTTTCCTCACAAACAAAAATGAAAAAAAAAGGGAGAAAAAGAGACCTTCATATCAGCTATTGTCGAGAAAACAACAAACTTCTTCTCAAGGCATGTGTCATCCTCACAAAGAAAATGAGCTTCACGGAAGTGGTTCTGGGAAAGATGTAATATTTTTTACTGTTAATTATTTTTTTTTTGTTAAAAAAAAAAAGAAGTGGAATGAAATTGACAAGTGATACAAACAGCTAACCTCCAAGTCATTATAATCCTTGTAGTATTCAAATGGAGTAGACTCAGTAGAACGCAGCCTGCAATGGATGGATTTTGGATGCAAGTAGTTTCACTTAAACTGAGAGAAAAACAAGTAAGCTTCTTACAAATAGAAAGCTCATTCTACCTCTCGCATATGTGGCAAGTATAATGTTCAGTGGACATGTGGAAGTAAAGTTCATTGTCACCATAAAATGGTCTCTGACAGAACTCGCAGAATGGATGTCCAGAAAACCCACATCTTTCATTTTCACTACCGTCAACATCTGAATCACCATAGCTTATATGCTGTCTTAACTGGACTCGACTATATAACTTCTGCTCAGATATGAACACCTGCTTCAAAGTAATAATATAAATCTATCATACTACAAGAAACATATGCTTATAGATCAAGTGTAATAAACAGTAATGTCTGCCCACTGGAAGGCAAGATGTAAAATTCATATCTAATATAAAAAACCATGACATAGGACCAATTACAAGGGACGAAAACAAACCAAGTAATGCTACCAAGCAGCAATGAAACACTCTACTTTCAGCCACTAAGCATAAAAAATCAATTTGTTGAATCAATGGTACCCTGACCCAGAGTCTCATATTCAAAATTGGCCCATTGTTCACAGCGTACAATAAGGTATTAGCTGAACGTAGATCTTTCAAAAAGTATCAACATTTTCTATGGCTTGCAGAGAAATGAAAATTGGGCTTTATTATCAACATTTGAGAAGAAATTAAAAAAAAAAAAAAAAAAAAAAAAAAAAAAAAAAAAAGAGCTTATGGGATTAAGGCGTTCAAGAAGAAGAAGAAGAAGTATATCAGTTATCAACAGGGTTCTATGGCAGGCTAGTGAGACCATGACCTCTTGGATGTCAAAGGTGTCCTAGGGGTGATCTCCGTTGATGGATCTAAGGTTATTGATAATTATCTAGGCCACTTCAATTTTTTAATCCGATAATATTAATTTTCTGATTACTATAATGTTCTAACTTCTGTAGATATATCAGATCAAGATCCTGCTTAAGAAGCGAAATGAAAAATGATTAAACTAACCCATTCACATTCAAAAGAAAACACCATCCGCGAAAAATGACTTGTCTAGTTACAGAGTAATGATACACAGATTCATATCAGATCAAGATCCTGCTTAAGAAGGGAAATGAAAAATGATTAAACTAACCCATTTACATTCAAAAGAAAACACCATCCGCGAAAAATGACTCGTCTAGTTACAGAGTAATGATACACAGATTCATAGTAATAGACATATAAACTGGCTTGAACTTTAAGTAACACCGCCTAAAACCACAATGAGGAAGTTAAAAGAGTTAAATCAAAGACACAAATAAGTAACAACCCCATGTAAAAAACAACAAACACGCCAGCATAATGAAGTTAGATCAAAAGAACATTTGCAGCAATAATAACAATTCTGCTCTCCATATGCTGCCAAAGGATGGAATAAAAAAAGTGATCAAAAAGGAACCACAATAAAATACTAAGACTTGCTTTTCATTCCATGATGGGATAAATGATCATGAGTTGTATTCAACTCAACATTTCTCACCTTCTTGTATTCTAAACAGAGACTGCAAAAGAAAAGTTCATGTTGATGGGATAAATGATCTTTGAGTTGCTCAACACTCTTAATTTTCCCTTTTCTTCTGGAATTTCTTTTCCCTTCAACCCCCAACTTGTCACAAACACTGCATGAGAGCTTACACATAGCTTTGATGATCTTGTACTCATCCAAATCATCAAAGTATGCTTGTGTGTCCTCATGATACCAATATGATCCCACCTTACCATCTTTAGCATCAGCTGGAAGAATTGAAAAGTCATTTATTACCCTCGTGAGAGATCCTAATGCCTGCAGCAAGGAAAATTAATAATTAGAAGATAAAACATAAATGGAACTGCTTCACAAATTCAATAAAGTTGCAATTTTAGTGTTTTGCTCAATCAAGATGCTAAAATTAGTAGGGTTCCATTCCCCCCTCCCCCAACCCCTCTCTTAATTCCAAACATTCTATGAAGGTTCATCATATGCAGTCAAGACCCGGCATTGCTGATTCTTTATTCTTGTGGAATGCAGAACATCGAATGTTAGTATTTTACTTAGATTAATAACTGTCACACACTGCAAGATTTTTTGTAAATTTAAACATCATAAAATTACTGACCAGACTCCTAAACCAGTAAATTCACTCCGAATCCCGATCCGGACCTAGAATGATCCACAATTCAGATCGATACATACATTCCATAGTAAAATTTGTTTGCTGCCCACCAGATTCCAGTAACCTACAAATCAATCCACCTATCATTCTTTCACCAATGGGCTACCTATCCCATTTTAAATGCCTCGGTTCTAGATCTATAACCTCTCAATTTAGGATCCAGGTCCCCTAAGCACCAATTAGGCATCTTTTCTCCTCCAATTTTAACCTTGACCCTTCTCTCTGCATCTCTGCTTCTGTATATCTACTTAAACTAATACCAAGTCGAATAATAGTACTCTTTCCAAATCTCTAAAATCTCAACTCGAATACTTAGACCATCATTATTCACATGATCCTGATTAAAATCTCCTTTGCTCAACCCACTTCTACATATATTTGAAAACTAAAGCAAAGCCAAATAAATAAGAGGGGAAGAGGGAAGGAGAGGAAAACCAAGTACTATATTAAACCACAAGAGAAAGAGGAAAACAGCATCAACCCTGAAAGACAATTTAGGCCTCAAACAGTATAACTCGCCAATTTAAGTTTACTGTTTAGTGCAAATCACATAAGTTGAGTTTCATTTCATACTTGTAGCTATTATTCACGCATCTCACATTTCACTTCCATCAAAGGTACTTTACTTATAACAAGTGCATTATCAAAAATATGCTTACTGTTCTGTATCCTTTTCACAATTTCATTGCTTTCGTAAGCATCCAAAATTCCAAACTTTCACTTCAATTCAACTTTTCGTTCCCAAAATTTACCCATGATCTTGTTCGTTTCCTAGCCCCCAACCTACCAACAGTTGAAGCAATTATTCTCCAATTGAAGCAATTCCAAATCCAACTACCTATCTTAATGTAGCTAAAGATTATGACGTCCCAAATACGAAGTACCTAATTTTGTTCACTAAAAACTTCTGCTGTAAAACCTGATACCTAGCACCGTCATGATCGAGAAAGCAACATAAACATAACAGTCAATTCATTGATATGGATTATGGGATACTAAGGATTATACAAAGTTGGTTTACGAAAACATCGCCTTCTAAAGCATATGCATTACCAATGGGAGTAGCTACTATCTAAAGTCAATTAGACAACTTTTACTGTATCCAAACAACACAATCATTCAACTCGAAAACCAGTAAACCACACCGCCCCCCCTCCCCCCCCCCCCCCCCCCCCCCCCCCCCCCCCCCAAAAAAAAAAAAAAAAAAAAAAACAAACAAACAAACAAAAATCTAACAGAAAGACAGATTTATACATGACCAAATCCAAAATAGCACCATTTTCCAACAATGTAGATAGCTGAAAATGTTCATTTTTTTTTAACCTTGAAAAATCCCAAAAACTAAAACTTGGTACCCTAAACAAACCCAGAAAACAATCAACATGGAGAAAGCATAGATCAAAAGGGGAAAATCCGTAAAAATTATTATCCAAATGGGGCAAAATTCACAAATCCTGAAATTGTCTCACGTGGTCCCCCCAATCCCAGCGCAAATATAATCAAATAAAAATAAATAAAAACTAATAAATGGGTATTATAACAAAATTTATTTAATTCAATTTTAATAAATCAAAATCAAGACTTTATTAATTTCAATTGTCATTTTTTAAGTGGGTAATTAAGAAAAAAAAAAGAGGAGAGAGAAAGAAGGAAAGAGACCCGGGTGATGAAGACGGAAGGAGAGAGAGACTGGCAAATGCAGCAACGGCGATCATCGCAGACGAATCGGAGACGAGCGATGCAGAGTGCGCAGACATCGCGGTGGCCGCACGGGCCGTACGCAACCCATTCGAGTGTTTCAGCACACACAGCGCAGCTTCCGTCATCCATTGATGTTAGTGTTTCTCTCTCTAAGATTGATGGATCCCTGGATTTTCTCTCTCTAGGATGGAAAAAGGACAAGATGGAAATAGGAGTTTTAGAAAGAGAAAATAGGAGAATGTTGGGGGAGGAAGGGAGTCAATACGTAAGTTATACGGCAGGTGGGACTGTGGGAGTGGTAATTTTTTTTTTTTTTTTTCACGGAGTATTACCATTTAACTTAACTGAAAAAATAAATTGACTTGAAAATACTTGTTGAAGAACATGTTGTAAGAGTAGCAAGACTTAGGGGTCGTTCGGTTCATTAGGGAAGTGTAAATTCCCATGAAATTTTAATTTGTGGGAAATAAATTTTATCATCAAAATCATGGGAATTCAACAAATTTGTTTGATTAAGAATGGAGGAAGTAAATTCCATGGGAATTTCAACTTACCAATGGGAGGTAAGGTAATTGAATTCCCATGTTTTGTAGAAAGTCAAAATTTCCATGAATTTTCATTGCCCCCATTTTCACTTTTTTGTGCCAACCAAACAACAAGGTGAAAATGAAATTCATGGGAATTTTGACTTCCCACAAAATATTTAGCCAACCAAATAAGGCCTTAAGGGCTAATCTTGCTCTTACTAAGTTACTCCTTATGTCTTGTTTTAATACTCCGTATAAGTTAAAAAAAAAAATAAATAAAAATAAAAATTGGTAAACATTTTCATTTAATTCCGACTTCATATAAATAATCTCAACTCCAAATCATAATCTACTTTTTATTACAGTAATATATAACGTGACGAATTTAACAAGATCTTACATGAATATACTACCTCCGTTTTTTTATATGTGCAACTTTGGCATAACTTGCGGTTCACGAGGCAAAAGATTGAATGACAAAAATTAAGAAAAGCTAGTGGACTTAATTAAAGGGATAGGAGAGAGAAAGTATAGCCACCCACTTGCATTGTTGGTGGGAAAATTTGGCAGAATCCACATGGGGTGGATTTCCCCCCAAATTTTCACCAAAAATTCGAATTTGTTAAATTTTTGGTGGAAATTTTGGGTCCCTCCATTTTTTAAAAAAAAGCACATGACATCCTGAATTTTTAGAAAGCATTTAAAGCCTTTATTCATCATTTAAGGGGGCTACAAATACCAACCTTCATTGTAGCACATTAAAGTACAATCATTAATGTTTTCAAGCTGGGTCAAACTTTCCAGCAAAAACAAAGTTTCCAGCAACAATTATGAATCCAATTAAGGCAACCCAAGCCTACATTCATCATTAAGTTAGCATAATTACACATTAACTACCCAATTAAAACAAAAAAAAAAACTGCTAAGCTGATATTAGTCCTGCACATCAAGCTGCATCCTTCATCTACTCCACAAAAAATCAATAGCCCCCCCTACATCATCAAGTTGTGCTGAAGAACAAAAACACATGGCAGAATTTGTTGATGCTATTTTTTCGATGTTGATCACATACTAAATGAAGAACAGATGGCAAAATTGTGGTATGACCATGAAGAAGAAATGCATGATGCAGGCATATGGGACTATGAATCTGAAGATGAAAACATGGAAGACAACCAAGAAGGAGAACAACAGCAGCAAAACACAGAAGCTGAGGTTGCTTCCCCACAAATGCAACAACAGCTTCATCAAGGGACTTAAATGGCAGACAGAAAGCAACTGACAATGCACAAGAAAAGAAAAATTGTTGATGCAATGTTGGTCAAAATGCATGAGGGAAGATTACCAAGGGGTCACATGAAACATTTATCATCTCAATTCAATGTTCACAAATCCACCATCACAGGAATCTTCACAGAAATAAAATAAAAAAAAAAAAAACAGTTGGCAAAAGGGGACTTGATTGATGTCAGGACTAAGAAGTTTGGAAAAATAGGGAGAAAGCCATTGCAAATATCTGATGAAATTCTACAGGCAGTCCCTTTGCATTTAAGGCAGACAGAAAGGAGTTATGCAGGAGCACTGAAGATAAGCCATAGTATTGTTCACAGTTTGAAGAAAAGAGGAAGGCTAAGAACACACGCATGCTGCAACAAGCCAGCACTGACATCAGATCATAAGGTAGCCACACTCAGATGGATTTTGTCACACATAAATCTAGTTACAGGTAATGAGGACCCCACATTTGTTGACATGAAACATGTCATACACATAGATGATAAGTGGTTCTATTTGAACCCTGATAAGAGGAGGTTTTATCTACAACCAAGTGAGGAGGATCCATACATGGCAGTACAGTAAAAAAGATTCAAGCTGAAAGCAATGTTTATGGCAATTATTGGGAAGCCATTGTATGACAGAAATGGGGAACTCCTACATGATGGGAAGTATGGCATATTCCCATTTACTATCCAGCAAGTAGCACATAAATCAAGCAAAAAAAGGTCCAAAGGAACTTTGGAAACAAAGGCACTCCAGAATGTAAACAGAGAAGTAATTAGAGATATGTTGTTGACAAAGGTCATACCAGCAATCATCTCAAAGTGGCCTGAAAGTCTGGCCAAAGATGTTGTCATCCAATGGGACAATGTAAGGCCTCACCAAGTTCCTAGTGATGCAAAATTTATAGCAGCAACAACAGCAAATGGGTTCAACATTCAATTTGTTTTTCAGCCAGCACAATCACCTGGTTTGAATGTGCTTGATTTAGGGTTATTTAGGTCTATTCAATCTTTGCAATATCAGTCTTTTCCTAGAGACTTAGATGAGCTAGTTGAAAAAGTGAGAGACTCTCTTATGACACATTTAATCCCCAAGTTAACAAGTACATCTGGGTAACTTTGCAAAAATGCATGATAAAGATCCTCAAGGCAGAAGGTGGGAACAAGTACAAAATACCCCACATGAACAAAAAAAAAACTTGAAAATATTGGCATTCTACCAGATAAAGTAGAAGTGCAGAAGGAAGTAGTGATGGAGGCTGTGGAATACCTAAACACTATGTTTAGGCCAGCAAATCAAGGCAATGAAGAAGCAACAGAAGATATGGAGGTGGATGCAGACTAGGGGACTCATCACATCAATGAGACAACACATGGACTGCCATACATAACCACTATGTTTTTTTTTTTACTAAGTTACAGTTGGTTAGGTGTATTTTGTTGATTACAATGAGTCAATCATGTAAGGTAGTTTGTTGTAAAGTCTTTTGATGAAGGTATGGTCCTTTTGTACCCACATTTTGAATGGAATAGAAATGACAAAGAATCAACTGTTATGTGGGCACTCAATCCATCAGAAGGTTTGTATGTCATTGTTGAATACAACACTAAGTCACAAGGTTACCTCAACAACAAGAGCATTAAACAAAATGTTGGAGCAAAACACGTGTTTAGTGAAATTCAATGGAGTCCCTTCATCATGTGGATTTGAATAAGGTAAACAACACACTACAATAGGGGACTCAATCCAAAACAGGATACAAAAGAAAATCAAAGGGACTCCTTTAAGAAATTTCTAAAACAGTAAGGGACTGAGAAGCCAATAATAATCAACAACAACACAACAGCCTCATCATTCATCAATCAAATCCCCATAGCCAACATAATCCATCAAATTAATAAAAAACTAACACATCCATCCAGTAAGGGACTGACTACACATTTATCAACAACAATCACTAGGATATGATGTAAAATCCAACAAGCCAGCATATTCCAACAAACCAACAGATCAGTCAAACACACCGCAACATACATGAAGCCAACTTAATCAATAACAACAAACACAGCCAACAGATACAACATCATAACACAACCAACCAGCCAGCACTTTGAAAATCAGAGAAGTGAACTCAACAGAACCAAACATACCAGACAACAAGCCCAACATAGCCAAAAATCCAACAATCCAAAAAAATCCAACAATCCAACATATCAGACAACAAGCCAACATATCAGAGAAATGAACTAAACAGACCCAAAAAACCAACAATCCAACATATCAGACAACAAGCCAACATAGCTAACAACCCACCAGATCAGAAATAAGCAACACAGCCATCAACCCACCAGATCAAATCAACATACACCCAAAAAAATCAAAGGAAAGGGACTTAAAAAAAATAGTAAATTTAGGGTTAGGAATCGTTACGCAAGCAGTCAGTTGGAGGGTTGAACCCTAGGGTTCATCCGCCTCTCATAGTGCTGCAAAGGAGGGCCCTGCGCTTCACCAGCTTCTAGTGGAGGGCAAGGCTTCTTAGGAGGAGGTGATGAAGCCTCCTCCTCTTTAGGCTCATCATTAGAGGAGAGAACAACATACTCCACATCTGGCAACCCACGCATCCTCCTTCGAGCCACCAACGCCGCCTTCCTTTTAGCCCGGATCTTGGTGGATGGCCTCGCCCTTTTAGATCTGGCGTTTTTTGTGGCCACGGAACTCCCCTCACCACTGTCATAGACCGGATCTACAGGTACAGAAGTGAAATCAAGCCATTTTTTGCCACGGGACTCCCCCTGACCCTCAGCCTTCTTCAAACGCTCCTCCTCCTCACAACTTTCAAGCACCTTGCCCAGAGCCTTGTAGGTGGTGGACGAACAGTAAGGACCAGCCTCACCAGACTCGTAAAATTGCCGAGGAAACGGAGATCCGGTTTCAATGGACTGAATAAGGGACAAAATAAAATTCCCCTCACCGACGTCGTCGTCGGTGGCAATGTAAGCATCGTGAAGTGGATCAAGGTTCACCATGTTGTAGGTGGGGACTCGTTTTTGGCAAGATTTGATGTCTGAAGGTCAGATCTAGGGAGAAATGTTGGAGAAAAATAGCGACGAACAGGAGAGAGTAAAACGAAGAAGATGAACTAGGGTTCATCTCAGGAAGTCTCCAGAACATAAAGGGAAGCCCTGCCATCATAAATTAATTTTTGGTGGTTGGGAATGTGAGTAATGAGAGGAGTTGGGGGGAATCAGAGAAATAAATGGAGGGTGTCATTTTAATTATGTTTAGATTAATTTGATTAAAGTAAGATAAGGGTAATTTTAATAAAATCTGAATTTTTAAGTAAGGGTAAATTTGTAATTTTCGGGGTTTTTGTTTACTAAAAGTAGAAAGAAAATAGAAAGTTGCACATAATTGTGAGCGGCCTAAAATGGCAAAAGTTGCACATAAAAAAAACGGAGGTAGTATATCATCTCATATACATTAACAAGAATTTATGGTCAAAGTTTTCAAAGTTTGACCCAAAACAGAGTATTCAAAATGGGAAAAATCATTTGGAGGCGGAGGGAGTACATTTTTCTACTTTTGACTTCTTATGTGAGGGTGGTTTAATTCGTTTCAATGTATATCTTTGAATATTAACATTTTTAGTTTATGTTTTATTGATAATTGAATATACTGATGTTGACATAAAATCATTAATTGACAAATATGCCTAAAGAATTGTTAATTATTAACTTAATATGAAACAAAGGGAACATTTTTGATTGAATTTCCTTGTTTTTTTTTATATTTTATTTTTATTATTATTTTTTTTAATTTTTTTAAATACAACGTATTCACTTTTTTTTTTTTAGTAAACAATGTATTCACTTTAATGCATCACTATTTTGGCATTAAAAAATGGTTGATAAAAATTGTTTTCAAAAAAGTACATCTTACAACAAAACTTAATGTAATGGACCTAATGGTACTAAGTTATGACTTATGAGATATATCGATAGTAACTGGAGCAACTGAATTAATGATAAATTGTTAGTGTACTATTCAATAGGCTTCAATACACCTAGCATGATCTCAATCCCTCTCTTTGTATTACACACTCTACCAATAATCTCTACAAGAACAAGTTCCCTCCTTGAACCTATGAAATCGAGCTCGATCCCTGACTATGATTTCACGATTATAAACCTTTGACACTAGCTTAATCACAGCATGACAATCCACACATATTCGAAGGTTCTTGATGACTTGAATTGGAGTTTCATGGCTTGTTGTTAGCAACCCAAACGCCACAGCTAACTTCTCACTATGATAACACAACACATACTCTTTATCCTCCTCCCCTATGTCGTGCAACACAAATCTCGTCCCTGAAACATATCCATGCTCCTTAATCCTGTACATGATTTCATCCAATTTTGCATAGATCGCTCTCCAACAAGGGTGGCTTTGATCGCCGTTAATGAACTTGTGCAATACACCACCAACTTCGGTGTAGCTAAATCCAGGAACCTTTTTCGAATCCTTAATGTTCATCACCTCCCTAACTCGTCCTACTTCATTCCATCTCTTATATGAAGCATATACATTTGACAACAGCACATAATCTCCACAGCTATCTGATCCCATTTCAACAAGTTTTTGTGATGCAATTTCTGCCAACTCCACATTTCCATAAGTATTGCAAGCACCGAGCAAAGTTTGCCAAAGGACAATATCAGGCGAAATTGGCATCGATTTTATGATTTCATAAGCTTCATTAAGCCTCCCTGCTCTTCCCAACAGATCAACCACGGTACCATAATGCTTCACATTATGTACAATCCCTTTCTCCTCCATCGAGTTAAACAATCGATGCCCCTCCTCAACCAAACCGGCATGGTTGCAAGCGCACAACACCCCAAGATAGGTTATAGGATCAGGGCAGACCCCAACACAGTCCATCTCGTTGAGAAGCTCAATTGCTTCAACCCCAAGTCCATGCATTGCAAACCCCATTACCATTGTGTTCCACGTAATAATATTCTTCTCACAACTCATACTCCTAAACACATCATAAGCTTTATCCACAAATCCGCATTTACAATACATATCAATCACTGCATTACACACTATAACCTTCAAATCCAACCTCTCCTTCTTAACATAACACCACACCTTATCCCCTTCTTTCAGAACCCCCATTTGAGAGCAAGCCGAAAGAGCACCGAGCACGGTAACATCATCCGCCTTCATCCCCATCCTACACACCCTATGAAACAACTCCAAAGCTTCATTAGGAAAACCCCCTTGAGCCAACCCACAAATCAAAGCATTCCAAGAAGCAACATCTCTCTCAGGCATTTCATCAAACACCTTCCGTGCATCCCCAAATTCCCCAACTTTACAATACAAATCCGTTAATGTCGTCTGCAAAAGCAAATCCAACATAAACCCAGATCGAATAACGAACGAATGCATCATATACCCCTCAAACTTCGCCAGCGCGCGCGCGCAAGCCTTGAGGGCGAACGAGCAAGTTACAGCATCGGGCTTCTGCGACGCGCGCAACATAGAGATGAAGAGGGTGAGCGCAATTTGAGGAGTTGAGCTCTGAGCATAGCCTCGAATGATGGGATTCCAGTCAAATGTTGATGGGTTGTTGATGTAATTGAAGATGAGGGTTGCGTAAGAGAGATTGCCATAGGAGGAGATTGCGGTGAGCTCGAGAAGTTTAAAGCGAGAGGAAGGAGAAAATTGGAAAAAACCAGAGGAAATGAGGTGGGATTGGATTTGTTTGATGTGAGAGAGGGAATTGCATTTTTGGATTGCGGTGTTGATGACGGTGGTGGTGGATTTGGCGATCATGCGGTGGAGTTTGCGGCGGAGCTTTTGAGAGTGTGTGTTGATGTGGTAAGGCGGGTAAGAGGGAGAAATTTTGGAAGCTTATTCAAATCGTAGGTACCCGCGTAGGCACAAAACGCTTTTTTTTGAAATAGGAAGCTTAGTAATTTGAAATAGTAATTTAATGATGTTCCAACGTGTACTTAATTAAATTTAAATGAGTATTACACCGTGTTTATATTATTTGATTTGATTTATTCTATAGTTATTATTGTTCTCTATCAAGTGACAATTCTATAGTTATTATTGTTCTCCCGGTGCAGTAGACAAGAAGCGGTCGTCCTCCAGGATAAGCACGGCGCTGGAATTTATGTGCACTCACAAACCCGACTGGAATTCAGAATATTTGCCCAGAAATAAAAGAACAGTGTTTAGTGGTTTTTAAGAGAGAAGAGGGAGGAATGTTTTTTCTGTGTATTTTGCTGAAGTGGGACTGGGTTTATATAGGCAGCAAGGAGGAAGATGGCCAGCAATGACCAGCAAGAAAAAAAGGAAGAAACGGCCATATGATTAAGGTCGAAAATCAAGCAAAACGGCTGACCGTTACTTTCCAAAATCAGAGACAAAACGCAGTCAAGAAACTGTCCAGGGTCAGTCAAAAACCACAATTAATGTGTGTAACGGTTTAGCTGTAATCAAGGGATTAACGGCTAATAATCAGGGAATCCCAACAGTAAAAAAAAACGGCTAGAATAAATAAGGAATATTCTATCAAATAAAATTCCTCCAAAAATAAAAGGACCCACGCCCGTGCATCGCATTCCCCAAGACCCCAAGGCTGACCCGACTCGACACGCGCGCGTTTGCGTGTGTGGTACAACACCCACCTCCAAGTCACTCAACTAAGAAGTATTAACATAGTATAATATAAAAATAAGGAGAAAACCTTTCCCTCCACCAATGTGAGATTTTTCCCTTTTCATTTGTGACTCTCACTCTCTCTTGTTTTCTTTCCTTCACTCAATACTCTTATTTTTTATATCAAGAACTTCCAACATTAATTAGTTGTAACTTTCAAGGGAAGTGACTTGCATTGTTGACACTTTGAACCTTTTTAGCATAACAATAATTTCTTTGGAGTAAAAAATTATGGAATACGTAATTACGGGTAACATCTATTTTGTTTAATCTTGTTGGTCTAAGCAGTAAAAAAAAAAAAAAAATATGGTGTAACCAACAATGAAAATGTAAAATTATTTATTATCATGTTAGGAATTGAAAAAAAAAAAAAATTATTCTATGCTCTTTCTCCAATCTAATAGGGGGACAAAGGAAGGAATATACTTTGTAGAAACACAGAGAAACATACTACTAATACTATTATTATTAATTAAATAACAACATCACAATACATCAACAAATAACTTCATCACAATACATTTAACACAAATTAAACACATTGAATAACTAGGATAGTAACAAACCACACGTACAGACGATACATGACATATAATTAAAGCTAACTACCTCAACTAGGATAGTAACAAGCATATCTTAATTAAGACACAAACTCAACCAAACTTACAATATACTTCATCTTACTCTCTAATTAAGGACTTAAAAACTAGCTAATTAACTAATCTAGGCTACTCCTTTCATGGGAAGGGTAAAGGGGTGTTGTTCCCAATTCCACCTCCACTACCACCAGTAGAACCAGGGTTCGTAGGTTCAACACGAACACAACCGAGACTCGGGACAGAGCAAAAGTCCACAGACGAGCCTCGACCAAGCCCGGTCCTTGACCCAAACCCAGCTCCTCCAGTGCTAGGAAAGATGCCACCAAACCCTCCAAAGAAGTTCTCAGGATGCACCGCCTTTTCACCTTTCTTCGGCTCCTCTTTCAGATCCCTAGCACCCTCAACAGACAATGACATTGCAAGTAGTCCTACAACTACAAGGAGAGTAAAACACCACACTATCTTAGAACTCACAGCTCTCCCCATTCTCTCAGCTCTCTTTCTTTTACTACTAGCTAGGGCAAGTTAAGGGTATGTACATACTCTAGAAGTGTAAGGATGGTCCCTTTATATAGGACTTAGAGCAAAAAAAAAAACCCTACTTATTTGGTACGTACATTATTATAGTATAGTGTGATAATATGACAAGTAATGAATTGCACAAAGAGTGACCCCAACAACCAAAGTACAAGAATATTAATGCAGTTATTTATTTTCTTTTGTGAAGTATTAGCAGCAGTATATGTATGCAATATTAGATTTCTCAGGAGAACGTACTCTCTATTCTCTAACGAACGTACTCTCGGTCTAATGCTGTAATGATGTGAATGGTCGACTAGCTAGAAGCCCGTATAATACTCATTTAATTTGTACAACTTTTGGCTTTTTTAAATTATAAACATACGTATATATATAGACTTTAGCTCTTATGGAAGGAAGATAGATAAATATTAGAGACTTATTTGGTAAGGAGTAATAAATGCTATAGTGATGGTAATAAATTGAATTTGCAGGATTATAAATTCTATTTTCAAAATTCATATTGGATAATGGAACTATTCATCTCCAAACATGTGTATTTTTCATGAATCCATTTCTAATAGTGTCACTTGGACACGTGGTTAAGTGTTACTTAATTATTGAAGATTAATAATGAAAAGGCAGATATATAAAAACGAACAATTATTATCATGAATATCGGCGTAAATATTTTTGCAAAATATTATGGTACTCGTAATTTCACTTTTTTTTTTTTTTTTTTTTTTTTTTTTTTTTTACGGGAATTTCACTTTTAACTTCTAATAATATATACTACCATTACTTAGCTTTGCACCAAAAAAAATAAGTAAATCACTTACAAGTTACAACTCTACTTACAAGTACATAATTTATTAGTCGTTGTATCTTCAAGAGTGAAGACTTAAAAAAAGTTAAAAGTCGAAAGGTTTAAAAGTACATTTTTTCAATAAATATTTATTTCCACAACTAGCTTTGTATCTTATTGCTTAATGTTTATGTAAAAAAAAAAAAAAAAAAAAAGAAATATTAAATGAAATTTATATTTACAAACATTGAAACAATAATAACTTCACTTTTAATAAGACACAACGCTTTAAATTTAATGTTTAACCTTGTTTAATTAAACATAAGTAAATGCAGGTGCAGGGTGCAGCTTGCAGTAGCTGTACCTATGAATTTTGGACCCGTTTATCGTATTTGATATCCGTTTATACATATTGTTTTCTTTCATTACCCATTATGTTCAATTAAGGTAATCAATATTCAATACTTTCAATTGAATTTTTAAAAATAAATTCAAGAGTATTAAATTCTTCTAACTACCACTTCAAAAATCTTGTGTTTGCCCATATTTTATGCACTGGAATTAATATGCCACAACACGACCTATAAAGTATAAAGGCTATAACTAGTGAGTAGTCCGGGCATTGCCCCGGATTGCTACTTTAGTAATTGTGTAATTGGGGTATTTTTATTTTTTTTGGAGAATTTTGAAATCATAAATCGACATTATTGGATGTGTTTTTTTTTTTTTTGATAATTAAATCATTTGGTTTACAGTTATGTACATTTCGTTTTCATATTTATAACATGTTTGATAATGGGCTAAGATGGTTAAATAGCCAACTTTGTTATAAGTGGTTGGGTGTTCGAATCCCCTTAACCTTATACTATTATAAACTGCACTTTGATAGTTAGATAAATGATTTTCTTGGTGTATTCTCGAGTTATTAAGGGTTGTTCAACCGTCTAAGCCCTGACCAAAGCAGAATTTCAAAATTGAAGAATAGGTGATGGGACCGGTTTTGCTCGGATCATATCCGAACAGGACCGGTTCGGACCGCTTTTAGTTATTTTCTATATTTTTAAAATTATTTTTATTATATTATGAGAAAAAAAATCTATAAGGAAAATTATCATTTGATGCCTATTTTGAACATCTAAAATGAAATAAATCATAATATAAATATATTTATAGCATGTTGATCGTAAAAATTAAACATATTAAAGGTTTTATTCATCATTACAAACCAAAAAAATCGATTTGGTCCAAGACCGGATTTTAAGGGGTTTTGGACCGGATTGGATCGAATACCTTTTTTAAATATTTAGACCCGGAGACTGAACTAATTTCTTCGATTCGAGGTCGGTCCGATCCAAATATGACTCCATCCTATGTTTTTAATAATTAAAATTCTAATTTAATTTTACTATCATATGTATATATATCCTCTTATCTCACGCTATTTACACAAGCTCTCTTGCTTTATCCACTTTTTTGGTGTTCATTGTTTTTATTTCTGATGTTCTCTACTTCTTTTGAATTAGCCCTTTATATCCTTTTAGGGAGATGTTATGCATGCATTTCTTGTTTTGGGGTATGCCATTTTGTTAGAAGTGCATAGCTAGTAAAGGGTGTTCAAAAACTAGTCAATATAAGAAAAATGGATTATTGGATCAAATCGGACCGACTCTAATCACCCTATACTGAAGAGAGTTGTTCCGGTCTTTGAGTTAAGAAAATTAAAATTCCGACCTTCAGTCCAGATGTCCAGTCTAATAATGATTTTGAATTGGACCATTTTTTTTCTATAAAATTATGACTATAACCTCTATACTTCGTAATGTTTAATTTCTTCTTTCAAATTGCTAGATATATATATTTATATTATAAGCGATTATTGTAAAAGTTAGATGTTCAAAATAAACATTAAACAATTACTTTCTCAATAAATTTTGTTTATAATAATGTTTGTTTTTTATTTAAAGAAAACTTTATAAGTGATTAAAAGCATATACGTAGTATAAAAAAAATTAATCGTTTCGGTCCGGTCCGGTCCAAGCCATGTCCTAGCAAAACTATTCCAAGGTGAACATTTATGTGCACGCATTTTGGGTGCAACGTCTAGCAATTGTAATTTGTAAACTCTCATTCGACCTCCCAAAAGCTCCCGAGTCCCTGCACTATTTTCGTTAATAATTGAGAAGATGAAGATGATGATGAAGAGTACATCTCTGTGTTTTAATGGCGGTACTGTTCTCTTTCCTCCTTTTACCTTAATTTCTCCCCCCTTTCCTTTTCATTTTCGATATTTTTCCACTAAAAAAAGAATTGTTGCAATTGATGATCGTCACCTATTTCTCGATTCTGTTAGAGATCATTGCAAATTAGGGTTTTCCGAT